CAGACCTTTTTCTTTTTTATTTTGTGACAAGCTGCCTCAAACTTGTGATCCTTCTGCCCCAGTCTCCTGAGTTGCTGGATTACAAGTGTGGACCACTGCACCTGGCAAAAGTCATTTATTCCTACAGATGGGCTAGCAGAGGGAAAGCCAGATAATTCAAACATTATTTTCTCTTGGGAATAGATTTGCTTTCCTTATTATTCTTTTGTTAGACTCTTAAAATGAATTTGCAATAAACATGTCCAAGATAAACTGACAAATAAATAAAGCTGAAAAAAATCTGGAGAAACATACTAAACTATAGGTACAATAATAAATTTAATTTTTTATAATATCATGTATTACTTTGTAAAATGGACAAAACAACTTATTTTAATGACATTTAAACTCTATTATTAGGAAGGGACCAGAGACGTGTAACTCTGTGGCCTCCTTTCCCCTCAGTTTAGTTCTCCTAAATTAAGAACTTCCACTTATAGCTACCTGAATACAGTATGCTGTTTTAAGCCTCTGCACACTCATGTTCTTTCAGCCTTGAATGCAACTGTTTACAACTCAACTTTGTCAGAATCTCCATTCATCCTACAAAACCCTATTCAGGTGTTCATACCTACTAAAGCCCCTCTGTAATAAAGCCTTTCTCTCAACCATTAAGAGAACTTATCTCTTTTCTTGGACATTTAATAGGAATTTAGACTTACAGAGCTCTTACCATATACTAGCATAGTGCTTAGGATTTTTATCTTTTTTTTATTGACTCTTCAATAATACCTACAAGAAAGGTACTCTTAGCATCTTCTTTTACAGATAAGAAAACTAAGGCTCAGATTCTGATTAGGAAGCAGCAGACCTAAGACCTGATCCCAGATCTATTTGATTCCAGAGCCTGAGTCTTGAACCACTACTCTGTCCTGTCCCTTGCCCTAAATCCAAACCCACAAAGCAAACACCCTGGTCTCCACAACAGTTCTAGTTCAATGAAACCAAGGATGATTTCTCATTCTCCTTGGATTCTGCCTAGCACAATAACTGGCTTTCAGTATATATGTTTGCTGATCTGAATTAATAACTGTGATAATCCTAACACAATAAATGAGAACTGGCCATATAGAAATTCATTCTTCCAAATACTGTTCATTTTAAATATTGGAAGCATTTCAAACAATGGACCACCAAATACCATCTGGCCAGCCTGACTACAATGCACCAGAGTAAGCCAAGGTCACCAGCAACAAGTACATATGTACCATATAAATTCTTTTCACCACAGTCAACAAAGTCAGAGATAGCTCAGCTATGTTATCCTGCCATATCTTACAGAGATTATTTCAGTTGATTTTTTTCTTTTTTCTCTTTTTTTTTTTTTGGTGCTAGAGATTGAACTCAGAGCCTTGTGCATGTAAGGCAAGCACTCTACCAACTGAGCTATGTCCCCAGCCCCTCAGAGACTGTTTCAGAACACCAGAGAGTTCTTCAGGATTTGGGGATGTCCCTCAAGTACTATTTAGGTGATTTTAAAAATAAGTTACCCAAAAGTTACGGTAAAAAATAAAAATAAAAAATTAAGGAGGCTGGGGTTGTAGCTCAGTGGTACAGCAATTGCCTTGCACACATGGGCACTGGGTTTGATCCTCAGCACCACATAAAATAATTAAGTGAAACAAAGGTATTGTGTCCATGTTCAACTAAAAACAAAAATTAAAAAGTGGATATAAAATGTGATTGGTGGAGCTCAAGGTGTGGCTCAGAGGTAGAGAATTTGTCTAGCATGTGTGAGGCCCTGAGTTAGAGTCCTGGGACAGGGAAGGTGTGGGGAGTGATACGCAGCCAATCAAAAATCCTCAAAAAAATACTTCTGCACTTAAAACACCCTAGGCTTTTTTCACCTCTCTTTGAATGGTGGCCCCATGTGTAAGGTCAGACTCAAGTGAAAACTCCCCTAGAGCAGAGGGCATATGCACTGAATTACTGAATTACTTTGTACTAATTAGAGTACCAGGCATGTGCCTGACACAGGAGGTACTCTATAACCCTAAATTTTGGCCTCAAAATCTTTAAAACCTTCCCTCCAGAAGGACAGAGTTGCAAATCCTTGGTCTTGTATTCAAGGCCCATTTACCTTCCCAAATTCTCAAGATCTTATATCCCCATATCTTGTCACCCCTTGCTCTTCATACCCATTATTTGGGACCCAGTTCAATCTCTCCTTTGGCAAGAAAGACTACCTAGACAACTCCAAATCTTGTAACCTTTCATTACTCTTAAGACCTGTAACTTTCTAAGACAATGGAAATGTTCTAGATCTGTACTATATGTTCTTTTGTATATAATAGCTACCTGTTAGACAGCACAGGCGTAATGCCTCAATATCTCTTTGGTAACACCAACCTGCTGCATTCTATGGTTAAAACATTCATCAAATCACCCCAGTAGACTGAAAATTATGTACACAAGACACATCTTATTTTTCATAGCAACTCTCATGAAATTGACAAAAGTAAATATTTGCTTATGTACATGCCAGTTTATCAGAAAATATCAGCAAAAAGGTGCTGGACTCAGGCATCTACAGTGATGTTCACCACTTCTGCCCCATCTGAATGTCATGACACACACAGACAGGAAGGAAAAAGCAACTTTCTGAAGACACAAATGACCACTGATCAAGCCACAGGTACTCTAGTTGAAATGACATTTAGGTCATAATTTCCCTTTACCTAAAACTTGCCTAAACATCTCCATTAGCAAGTAGCTAAATTCTGATGGCAAATTATGCTGACAAAAAATTTAATTTCTTCCCAAGTTAGAAACAGAAGTTACACAGTAAAATGACCTAAGCCAGTCCTATTTGTACAACTTTTTTTCACCTTTTTATTGAGCATATATCTCCCTTGGAGTCCTTCAGCCTACTGGTGGGATCTCACTGTGCAGACACATGTAAGAAATTCATTGACACTTTTCCCAGTAGGGCCTATACTGGCTCTAAATTAAGACCCAATATTTAAGTATCGACAGTCAACAGAACACAAGATATATAGAAGGCACAAGTTTCAGCACTATGGTACTATTACCTTGGGCAAGTGTCTTGTCCCTTTGGCCTCAATTTCCTTATCTTCAAAAAGGAATTAATATTAGGTGAACTACCTACCTCACAAATCCTTTATGAGTAAGTCATAACCATGGTTATTCTTCCCAAATGAACTACATAGATAGATAGAAAGATAGATAGATAAAAGATTCATGAATTTGCTAATGGTTCTTTGTGGAGTATATGCTAACAAATGGACTAAGATCAACACTCCAACATTTTTTTCCCCAAATTTCTTCATCCCATCCCACTATGCAAATGTCTGAGCAAAAATTCAACAAATACTTCAGTCTGGCACATATAATAAGGAAACAAACATGTTGACTCAGAGAACACAGACATATTTAATATAAAATATAACAGAAAAGTGGCTGAATCAAGTCATAACACAGTCTAACTCCGCATGTAAAAATGTGAGATTTACTGCTTTGATTTTTTTCAAACCAATGCTTCATCAGAACAGCCAGCTAAAAATTCACAACCCATACACAGAATAAATAAACCATTTAGATATTTAAAAAACAGCAGGTACACACTATCTACAGGTTTAACAAGAAAAAAAAAAAAAAAGACTGTATTCCAACTACTTGGGAGGGTGAGGCAAAAAGATCCCAAGTTCAGGGACAGCCTGGGCAACTTAGCAAAACCATGTCTCAAAATAAAATAAATGGATGGGGATGTAGCCCAGTGGTAGAGTGCTTGCCTAACATGTGAAGGCCAGGGTTCAATCCCAATACCATTAAAAATAAAGTTAAATTTTTAAAAAAGTTTAAAAAAAAAAAAAAAAAGACTAACCACTGGTTTCGCCAACACCACACACTTAATATTACAGAGTGATATGTACTAAATGTGAAAAAAGCAACTTGGGTGAGAGTTTGAATTTTGCTAATTTAAGTGCAACCACACCCCTCAACAGGTAAAGTTGGCACACCGGGCTTGGCCAAGGCCAGCCTGTCTTTGTTTCCCTCTATTCTGCATTTACCCAAGATCTTGGCTCTGAGACAGAAAACTCCCACTCTTGATTGGTTCATTCTGTCCCATGCAATTAAGCAACACCACAATCCAGTAAACGCAATGGCTCAATTATTTATCTTCTAGTCGAGTTTACCTGGTTTTTATAAAAGAACAATGTCAAGGAGGAAAGAGGTTTATTGCTCTCTAGAGCGGACCTGACCGGGGATTTGTCTTTTTTTATTTTATTTTTACAAGGTGGGGAGATGCATGGCTTAACCTAGAAAAAGATGGGGCTGGGGAAGAATTTATAGAGTACAAGTCTTTCAGTTTCCCTACAAAAAACTTGATTCTTATTCAATAATCCTACCCCAAACCAGCCAGCCCGTAAGGCTATAGGGGTATACCTATTCCCACCTCCAGAGGGGCACAGCTGGCTTCCGAAAGAGCAGGAGCAGGGCAAGGCGGAGGAAGCGCTGAGCCGGCGAGGCAGGGAAGAGGCTCTTTCCAACACGCGCCCCCCCCACACACACACACACCACCAGTGATCTCGGCCGGCGTGACAGTCGCTCCCGTGCCCCGAACGTCCCCAAAGCCCCAGGGAGCAGGAAGTCGGGGGGCTGTCGCTCTCTCCATCCACCCCAACACTAGTATGCCCTCGCTCCATGATTCTGCCCCCTCGAGTTCATTCCCAGTCTTCCTCCGCTTATCCCCTTTCCCCCAAGACCGAAACTTCCTTCCAGTGCCCCCTTCTCTTCCGAGACCGCTCCTGTCATCCCAGGGAGTTGTCCCTTCAGGGCGACCCTCCGTGTCTTCTCATATCCCGCCAGCTCCACTGAAGCGTTCATTCGCAACTACCGCCCAAAACACTCCCGAAGGCTCGCAGCCCCTGCGGCGCCCCCCACGGTCCCCCGGCCGGCCGGCCGTCGGGGGACGCGGCCCCACCCTTCGCCCCCTTCACCTGTTTCTCCAGCTGTGAGGCCCGACAGGCCGGGGCTGAGCTTGCGTCGGGTGCGGGTGGCCGGGCTCCCTCGGGCCGCCGGGCCTCTCCTAGGCGACGCAGAGGGGCAAAGCCGAGCTGGGGTGCTCGTCAAGGATCCGGTTGGGGCTCCTTCCCTCCGCTGCGACGTCGGAACCCCCAAGCTCCCCCTCCCCGTCTACACCGCCGCAGCTCCGGAAACCGCTGAATTACAGACTCTCCAGCCAATCCCCACCCAGCCCCTGCCTAGCCAAGACACGCCTCATGCATAATTCATGAGACGGCCAGCTTGCTCGGCCACCCAGAGGCCCCAGAGCATGGCTGTACATCCGAAACCCCACCCACAAACCAATAAAAAGAGCCTCTAAGAGAAAGGGCGGAGTCAAAAGAAGACTGGGTACGCCCCTGTGTTGGCTGTTCCAAGGGCTTAGTGCTCCTCCCTCCGTAATAACCAGGGAAGAACCCAAGCCCTGGGCACCGGATCACGGGGGGAGGGTGGGGAAATGACCGGAATGTCCTGCTGAAAACTCAGCTGAGTTCCTGGCAGTGCGTGACGTCAAGACACTTTAAATGCCCTGATACGGCTCCCTGCTGCCCGCTTTCCCTTTTCCCGGCCCTTGGCACCACGTGGGGAGAGGTTAAGAGCTTCTTACCACGTGGGAATCAGCCAGTTCAGACTCCCAGTTAGCACCGGATCCTCCGGGGTCCCAACTCCTGAACTAGGTGTCTGAGGACAACAAAAAGAACATGGGCGACTCCTGCCTGCTTTGAACTTTGGTTTCTGCGTGAGTCGGGCACACACACCCGGAAATATGACGCCAAAATAGAGTAATTACTAGATTGCGTGGGGAGAAGATAGTGGATATAACCCCGTCCTCGGTTCCATAGCTTCAAGTATCAAATGTCAACAGCTAAGTTATTAGCTGGTACACAGAAATACAGATAGTATATATATGAGGACTGACATGTATAAACAGTATTTGACATGTTTAGGCCTCTGAGTTACTGAAATTCTTTTTCTTTTCCACCGCGCCTACTTGATGTGCAAGTTTTACTGAATTGAAGCCAGTAGCTCATAGGAAATGTAGACATTTTGCTTACACAATAGGGGATGAACTTTGCATAACGGAATGATTTTTGTGTGCTGATACTATCATAGTTTTTAAAAACACCAGTTGTAATTGTGTTTGTTATATTCCTCTAACAGACATAAAGATAAAAATCTAGCTGACTGAGATGGCTATAATTCCAGCACCTAGGGAGTGAGGCAGGAAAATCCTAAATTCAAGGCCAGCCTCAGCAACTTAGTGAGGCCCTGTCTCAAAATTAAAAATGAGAGGTTGAGAATATACCTCAGTTGGTGCACTGCTTGCCTAGCATGCACAAGGCCCTGGGTTCAATCCCCAGCACTACCAAAAAAAGAGAGAGAGAGAGAAGGGCTGGGGAGTTGGGGATGCACCTTGGTGGTAGGACACCTCTGGATAGAATCTCCAGTACCAAAATAAAATTAAAAAAATAAAAAAAAATTAAATCTAAAAAGGGTTCATTATCTTACTATAGCAATTTTTTTCAACAAAACTAATACATGTTCACGGTTTAAAAAAAAAAAAAAGTTCAAATAGGTTGAAAATGTTAAATGAAATCTTCCCCTCCTTTCTCCATCAGTCCTTCTCCCTAAAGATAGCTGTTCTTATTAATTTCTGGTGAGAAAATCAATGATTCTTAACCTTTGATGGGTCACAGACCCTTCTGAGAATCCAATGGAGACTGTGAATTCTAGCCTCAGAAATGTACAGCACAAACTGATCATGGTGATGCACTTCTGTAATCCCTAGCTACTTGGAAAGAATAGGCAGGAAGATGCAAATTACAGTCCATCCTGGTCAATTTAATGAGACCCTGGCTCAAAAATAAAATGAGCCCAGAGTGGTAGCACACACCTGTAATCCCAGAAGGCTGAGGCTGGACAATCACAAGTTTGAGGCCAGCTTCAGCAATTTAGGGAGGCCCTGTCTCAAAATTAAAAATAAAAAGGGCTGGGGACTTAGCTCAGTGGTAAAGTGCCCCTGAGTTCAATCCCCAAAACAAAAAATAAAATATGGGGGCTGGGGATGTGGCTCAAGCGGTAACGCGCTGCCTGGCATGTGCGGGGCGCTAGGTTTGATCCTCAGCACCACATAAAATAAAGATGTTGTGTCCACCGAAAACTGAAAAATAAATACCAAAAAAAAAAAATTCTCTCCCCCCCCCCCCCCCCCCCCCCCCCTCCCCCCAAAAAAAAATAAATAAATAAAAAATAAAAATAAAATATGCATGCTTGTAATCCCAGCAGCTTGGGAGGCTGAGACAGGAGGATCACAAGATCAAAACCAGCCTCAGCAATTTAGCAGGACTAAGAAACTTAGCAAGACACTATCTCAAAATAAAAAGAAAAAGGCTGGGGACGTGGCACCCCTAAATTCAATCCCCAGGGCAAAAAAAAAAAAGGAGAAGACAGGAGATGTGGCTCAGTGCTTTATCAGCATGTGTGAGGGGACCTAGGTTCAATCCTGAGTAGGGTGGAAAGAAAAGAAAGAAATATACAGCAGATCTTTTACTTACAGATCCACATGACTCTCTAGATACCCAAAACCTATCTGAATCTGGAAGATTACCACTTCTTGTACCACCTCATATCCATTTGTATTTGTGTGTATATGTGTAGCTTGTGAATCAAGCCCAGGTCTTCACAGATGCTAAGCATGTGCCTTGCCACTGAGCTACATTCCCAGCCACCATCTCAGATCCAAGTAAGAGGCAAGAGCCTGGGCTGGGGATGTAGCTCAAGCGGTAGCGCGCTCGCCTGGCATGCGTGCGGCCCGGGTTCGACCCTCAGCACCACATACTAACAAAGATGTTGTGTCTGCCGGAAAAATAAAGTAAATAAATATTTTTTAAAAATTCTCTTTCTCTCACTCTTTCTTAAAAAAAAAAATCTCTCTCTCTCTTAAAAAAAAATTAATGAAAGTTTAAAAAAAATAAAAAAAGAGGCAAGAGCCTCTATAGGGCAACTTGTAGGGTCACTGATGGTGAGCTTGAATCTCCCACTGCCTGGTAGAGCCTGACCAGTGTGAAAATTGCTGTATTTATTTATAGAGAGTGTTTGTATTGATCACTGTTTATCTTTATCTTCACTACAGGACAGATATCTCCTATAAGAGTAAACTTTCTTTTAGCTGTAGTATCCCAGGCAGTTGACTGCTCCCTGATAACATGGGGAATAGTATTTGTTTAGTGATTTACTGATGACAAACCACTGACATACTCATTGTCTCTTCTTTCTCACAACAATCATGTGTAGCAGATAGGAGAGGTCATATTATCCACTGAAAGAAAACGAAGGCCAGGGCTGGGGATGTGCTCAGTAGTTAAGGATCCCTGGGTTCAATCCCCAGAACAAGAAAAAAGAAAGAAAGAAAATAAGGCCAATGCCTGGTAATCCCAGTGAACTGTGAGGCTGAGGCAGGAGGATGTCAAGTTCAAGGCCAGTCTCAGCAATTTAGCAAGGCTCTAAACAGTTTAGACTGTTTAGAGACCTGTCTCAAAATAAAAAATTGTAAAAAGGGGGCTGGGATGTAGCTCAGTGGTAAAGCATCCCTGGGTTCAATCCCTAGTACCCAAAACAACACAACAACAACAAAAATATAAAGCCAAAATAATGTGGCACTCTCAAGACCACAGAGATGTTCAGAGCCAGGATTTTGGATTCCACAGCTCAGAGCTTTGTCCATCCACTCAAATCCTGCCTTCCTCCTCTGACTTCCCAGGAGCTGGCCTTCCTTTCCTTTACAATCCTCCCCACCATTCACACATAACTACCCCTGAGCCTATCTCTTCAGCTTATGAAATTTTCTTCATCCCTGCCACTGTCGTTTATCCACAAACTTTTTTTTTTGGGGGGGGGGGCAGGAGGGTGGGTTCTAAGGATTTAACTCAGGGGCACTTTACTACTGATCTACATCCTCAGCTCTTTGTAGTTTTTATTTTGAGACAGGGTCTCCCTAAGTTGCTTAGGGCCTTGCTAAGTTGCTGAGGCTGGCCTTGAACTTGATATCCTTCTGTCTTAGGCTCCAGAGTTGCTGGGATTACAGGTGTGTACCACGGTGTCCAGCCCTCTTTCCACACTTCTGCCAATGCCCCCTTGGCTAAATGTTGTAGCTTCTCTCACTTGGGCCAGTGCTTTGGCCTCCTGACTATTTTCTCTCTTCATTCCATCACATCCTTCCCCTGGCTGCTGTGGTCATCATCCTAAAAATTAAATTTAAAACAAGTGAATATTCAATCATGTCACAGATTGCTTTCAAAGCTCTACTGCTAAACTGGGTATAGTCATACACACCTGTCATCCCAGCAACTCCAGAGGCTGAGGCAGGAGGCTTGAAAGTTTGAGATCAGCCTGAGCAACTTAGTGAGACCCCATCTCAAAATAAAATTTTAAAAGATTTGGGGGTATAGTTCAGTGGTTGAGCACCTCTGGGTGAATTAAGTCCCCAGTACCACACACAGACACACACACACACACACATACACACAAAAAAGAACTTTAGTGTTCCTTGATATCTGTAGGATAAAATCTAAGTTAAATTTAAAAATACTGCTGGGCACAGTGGCGCACCCCTGAAATCCCAGCAGCTTGGGAGGCTGAGACTAGAGGATTGTGAGTTCAAAGCCAGCCTCAGCAAAAAGCAAGGAGCTAAACAACTCAGTGAGACCCTGTCTCTAAAAAAATAGGGCTGGGGATGTGGCTCAGTAGTCGAGTGCCCTTGGGATCAAACACAAGGGCACTCGACTACCCATCTCCCACCAAAAAAAAAAAAAAAATACTGACCATCCAATACAGTGATAGGCATATAGTAGGAGCCAAATCGATGTCCTATCTCTGTCCTTTTTTCCCCTCATGCTAGAAGTTAAAATCAAGGTTTTGCACATGCTAGGTGGATGCTCTACTATTGAGTCACCTCCTGAGCACTCCCCTTCTTAATTTGACACAAAGTCCTACAAAGTCCAACCTGAGCCCATCTTATAGCCTCATCCCACACACTCTAAACTCCTGCCCTGAATACATCACCTTCCTCCAAATATGTCAGCACCTTCTGTAACTTTATGTCTTTGTAGGTGTTCTTTCCTCCAACTAGAATATCTTCCTTTTCCACATTCCCAACCTAAAAGTCTGGTTCCCACATCACCTCCTCTGGACTTTTCCTAGATGCTTCACCACCTTGAACTGTCATATGTC